GTTTTTATAAGCGGAGCCCGAGGCGTCACCCTTCCTCGGCTCAGACTGTTTGCAAACTACAGTTCCCGTGATGCCTAGCGCCTCGCCGCCAGCTTCTGGTTGAGTGACAGGAGCAGGCAGAGACTGAGCTGCACTGCTTGCAACTTTCATACCGTAGTAATGCTGGGACAACACGTGGTGTTCTTGTACAGCAACGAAGTACTTTTACTCAACATTATATCAAGTTTATAAATCATTATTATTATTATTATTATTATTATTATTATTATTATTATTATTATTATTTTTATAGATAAGAGTTTTTGTTTGGTTTCCAGAAATTGAGAAGCATCTTATGAGGAGGGAGGGGAAATGAGATTAAATGCAGGGCAGATACTGAGACTATGGCCTCATAATATAGTTAAAAACTCATATTGTGGTTAGTGTTGGAATAAGGATTTTCACAAATTTTAATTTTCACTGAACAAACATTTCAATCGTGAAGTGACATCTTTTGCGGGATCTGTATGACACAAACATGTTTTCTTGAATCTAGGACAGAGCATCTCCTCAGCACTACAGTACTCTATTATAAAGCTGTTTTTATCTCACGTTTATCAAAAGAACTGCAGCTTCTGAGATTTGCATATTACTGTTTTGATTAATCGTGCAGCCGAAGCTGTGACTGCTTTGCATTGAGAAATTAGATATTCACTTAAAAATGAAGAACAACAACTTTGCTTTCAGTTGAAAATGTCAGGTAATGCATGTAAAATGGGAAATGTTAGTTATTGTCCATTTTAAAATAACTCCAAATGTAACATCATTATCTACTGAATGGTCTCCTGCTGTGACCGCCGTATGTGTGAAGCAGCTGGTTAGAAGCAGAAGGAGTTGCACAATGTCAGGACAACAGATAGCTGTGGGGCAAAGTCCACACGTTCTCCATCGATTGCGTTACAATCCAGTGAGTCCTGACATGTTAATTAACGCCAGTATCACTCATTTACTACAGCAGTCAATCAGTGAAACTTAACGTCTGCTCACCAGTGTTGCATGTACATTTTCTACCAAAACGTTGCTGCTTTAGGTCAGTGGGTTTGCAGCCCAGGGCAGAAGGACATGTGATCATTATATTTATTTATTAATATCGTTACTAGTGCTGCAATATGTTATTCCATCATATATGTAGTGATCTGTTGATATACAGAAAATGAATTGGCTGTGGCAGTCATTTATTCTGTTGATTTGATGTTGGTCTCTGACACTTTAAGCCTGGGTTTGAACAGTGCATTAAATATTTAAGCTCTACTTACCGGCCTGGCTTTGTTCTCTTCTCAAATAATTGGCCTGATTCGAGCTGTTGGCTAAAGTTCACCCTCAGTCATGAGGACAATTGTGATTGTGGCCGTAAACTATAAAATGCCTTCAGTGGAAAAACTGCACGTCGCATGCTGTAACTGTACAGCTTGTGGTGGTTTCGGGTAGGATTTGAACCACAGTACCTGCCAGTATTGGCTCCCTGCTTGTGTAGCTGTACAGAAACACACAATGAGGCCTCTTCAAAGGGATTTCACTCACTGACCTTTTTAGTTTAGTCACAACTTTGACCTAAATGTGAACTTGTGTCCTTAATCCTCTCTGTGGCTGGTCATTCAGCCCAGTGCCGGTTCAGTGCAGTTAGCCTGGCTGAGGTGTGTTTGCACATGCTGCAGCCCATGTGGTGGAGGGTGGTTGTACTCTTGGGACTTCCTCCTGCACCCTGAGGTTTACCTGCAGCGCTGTAGAGCAGAGCGCCCCACTTCCTGTAAAATCAGGATACTTTTCTGTTTCTGATAATCGCCAAGTTGAAGTAAAGTGATTGGTGAAATCAGAAGCTGAAATGTGCTGTATGATAAATTAATGCATGATGTAAAAGAGCAGATAAAGTGGGAGAACTGTGGCTTCATATTGGGTAAAGCTTAGGTCTAGCTGGAGTTTATCCAACTATATTCAGCCTGGTGTTCAGCGTCTAAGCGTAACCTTTATGATGTGATTTGAATAATTATTGCTGAGCTGAATCAGACTTGAGGTTAATTTTCCTAAATCAAATGGAAACAAAGTAAAGAAGAACTTTAAGCGAGAACAAGATGGTGCTGCTGTCCATGTAAAACAAATCCGTTCTTGTACTTCACTTGTTCTGACATGTTTAAGAAATAAACCTTGAATAACCTGTTGCTATGCTACATTAGCCAGAACGCAACTCTTTTGCCTACAATTACAAACAAAAGCCGCGGATTAACATCCTTTTTTAACTTATGTTGCCTGTCTTCCACTGTCTCGTTGTAGATGCATAATTACACCTCTATTGCGTTCATTTGGGGAGACCACGTTCTCGGCTCTCCAGTGAAGCTTAAACAAACACTACAGTCCTGTAGAGCAGCAGCAGCTGTCTGGAGATGAATGGAGTGACTGTACAGACAGCTGTGGTTGTAAATTTCCCCTCTACAGCAACACCACAATATTAGAAAATGACATGGCATCGGGAAAAACGTCAGCAAATATCATATCTGCTGACGGTGACAAAGACCACATCCTGATTCTTCTCTCAGGAAATTATTTTGCAAGTGGAGATAATCTCGTCCGTGTTGTGTTTTGAATAGTTTTTACTGAACAAGGATTCACATTAAACTGAAAACAATGTCCAATATAAAACGTTATCTAACTAACATCCTCCCGTGTCTCCCCCCTCTCTCCCCCAGCTGACATCAGCCTGGCCGAATGGGGGCGTAAGGCCATCGACATCGCAGAGAATGAGATGCCCGGTCTGATGAAGATGAGGGAGCTGTACGGTCCGTCCAAGCCCCTGAAGGGCGCCCGTATCGCCGGCTGCCTCCACATGACCCTGCAGACCGCCGTGCTCATCGAGACCCTCACCGCCCTCGGAGCTGAGGTGACCTTTACCAGCTTATTAATCGAGAGGTCATCCACCAAACATTCATGTCTTTTGAGATCTTTTGAATCTCAGAATGGACACAGGCACATTTAACTTATTTACTTTTATATCATCTTCAAATGAAAATGAACTCTTAAAAGTGTCAACTAAAAAATAACTTAATCAGGTTGTGGTGTTAATCAGTCCGAACTCACAAATTACAGTGACTGTTTTAAAATGCAAAAAAGGAGTTGGATTCAACAAGCAGACTTGATGCTGGATTCAATAAAATGCCATCTGTGATGTATTAAACTCCTCTTACTGACCTGAATTGAGACACATGAATATCTAAGGCATTCAGATGCTGTGACCGGGAGCAGGAGGGAGCTTCAAAGCAGATGAGAGATGTTTTGCACATCATGTGTAAAAGGAGCATTACAGGTCCAAAACTAACATAATCCTTTTCCTTTTTTAAATTCGGGGCGCGATCATACTTTTTCTGGTTCAGTGGACTTTGTTTCAACTTAGTAAAATATTTTGGTTGTACATTTTCATGTCCAGTTAAAATTTTCTAGAAGACAAAACACACACACTGCCAGACCTCTTTGGCCCAGTTAGTCTTTATCCATATTTGGTTTCTTCATTCATATGAAGCATCAAAGAGTCTGTGTGAATATAGGCAAATAGAAAAATACTAAAATACTTTTGGCTTACTGATAACGCGGCCCAGTGTAACTGCTGTCGTCTTCTGCCTTGTGTACTGGCAGTAGTAGTAGCAGTTACTGAGAGAGGACGAGTTCATTGATCCATTTATTTGAACAATCTGTCTCAGCTCAGTCTGGGGTTTTGTCTCTCCCTCTTTTTGCCTCAAGGCCAGTGTGCTCTGTTATCATGTTGGTTTTTATCTCTCTGAGCAGGACTGGTTTTATCCTGTGGGAACCTGCACCCTACCAACCTGCTATCTCTGCCTAGGATTGAAATGGGAATGAAATTGACTTTAAAATAATGCAATGGCAGTTCATTAATTTCTGCTTTTCAGAAAGAATGTGAGCTTTTTTTAAAAGTTTACAATCAATTCTGTTTATCTTGAGGTCAATGCAGACTTAGAACAGACACATTTAAAAGATTTGACCATAAGTTTGACTCCACATGCTCTCTGGTTATTTTTTTAACTTCATTAAACTATCGCCTCAGAGCCTTGGCGAAAATATGGGCCAAAGTGTCGAGCTGGGGTAAAATAATGTGTTAAGATGAGTTTTTAGTTGAGAAAAATTTCCAAGATATTATTCACCAGATATTATAATTGTATGTTAATTGATTTAATGCCCCTTGAGGCGTTGCAGCTCAACTGTCTGTGTTGCAGCTGTGTCATAAGGTGGCAGAGAGAGACCGGTGGTAGTCTGCACTGAGACTCTACAACACACAGAGCACTCGGAGTGATTCTCACCACCAACATTCAACACACACAATACCCTGTAGCCATGAGGTTGTTTAATTACCCAGTGAACCAACTGCCCAAATAACCAGGAAGAGTTGGACTTTGAATTCAGTTATCTAGAACCCAAAGGTACACAACGCAGCCCATTCATATGTAGAAACCCCGTCAAACTCCGTTAGATGTATAGATGGCAAACTTGTGTAATTTGTTAAAATCTGTAAAATCAGGTTACTGCACCTGTGACCAGGTTAGCTAATTTCATGTCAATACATTGAACTATTGGCTGTTTTTAGGTGATTGCTGTTGACCAAGCATTTATAGCATCAATTCACTGCTTTGAAAAAGCCTTTAATTTGAATACTCTCCTCCTCAGGTTCAATGGTCGAGCTGTAACATCTTCTCCACTCAGGATCACGCTGCTTCCGCCATCGCCAAGTCTGGCGTTCCAGGTAACGCACATCTGTGTATACTGAATGTGAATTACAAAATAACCTGCCCAGGTTTGTGCAGGTTGGCAAATATTACTTTGGGGTACACGTGTAGAGGATGTCTGTAATTGTAACTAAGTGCTTTAAGAGTACATCTACACCGTACGGACTAAAATGTGAAACCACATATTTTTATTAAATGAGAGTATTTACTCACCAGATATTGTATTGCAGATGACTTTATGCCCCTTGAGGCGTTGCAGCTCAACTGTCTGTGTTGCAGCTGTGTCATAAGGTGGCAGAGAGAGAGAGAGAGAGACCGGTGGTAGTCTGCACTGAGACTCTACAATGCACGGAGAACTCGGCGTGATTCTCACCACCAACACTTTAGATTCCCTGCCCGTATGTGGGAATATTCTTACCCGACTCTCAGAGAGAGACACTTGCTCATTTGTTTTCTTTCTTTTGTGTAGTGTATGCGTGGAAAGGAGAGACCGATGAGGAGTATGTGTGGTGCATCGAACAGACTCTGTTCTTCAAAGATGGTCAGCCCCTCAACATGATCCTGGACGACGGAGGAGACCTCACCAACATGGTCCACCAGAAGTATCCCAAACTGCTGGCAGGTTAGTTTGGGGTTTTTTTTTAGTTTAGAAAAAGGCTTAAAATGTCTTTGGATCTGTTTTATCACTGACGTGTTGGTAAAGGTTTACTGACGCCTGGAGCTGTTTGTTCCTAAATCTCTGCTCATACAATTACAGTGACCTCAGATATCACAGGACCGTAGTTAAAGCTGGGTTTCACTATCTTACCATCAGTTAACTCGGTGTATTTCTTGGTCTTCTTGCTGCTGCAGGAAACTAGCTTTGACTAGATATCCCAGCATTCAGTGCAGTGGCTGGTGATGATTTTCACACTTAACATTTGAATTAAACTTTAAACCTGCAGTAGAGTTTTGCCCACTAGATGACAGCAGTGATCTGAGTTTATACAGCAAATGCAATTCATGTTACATCATTCTGAACTTAAAATTCACAGGAAATATTCTCATTTCTTATTTTAGATCTAGTTAGATTTAGTTTATTTTGAAAGTTTCCTCTTGGTATTGCAGAAGTTGTGCTCTAGTCTTTAAAGTGAATTATTTGTACAATGCAGCCAATGTTTGTCCATGAGGGGGAAAAATATCCAAAAAGATTTCTCTTCAGATATTGTTCATATCGTTACAAGTGGTGATCATATTGATTTAATGCCCCTTGAGGCGTTGCAGCTCAACTGACAGTGTTGCAGCTGTGTCATAAGGTGGCAGAGAGAGACCGGTGGTAGTCTGCACTGAGACTCTGCAACAAACGGAGGACTCGGAGTGATTCTCACCACCAACACTTAACACACATTGCTTAACTGTAATTACATGCACGCCGTTTTGTTTGTTCTGTGCTTGTGCTGAGGGTGTGTTTCATGGCCTGCTTCATTGTGTGTTTAAGAAGAGAAATTAAAGGGGGGAAACATTACAAATTAAGTTGGATATTCCATTTCAAGACTATAGCCGACCTTCACACGGTCAAAAACCTTAAAACCTCACTGTGTGCTTCACCTGAAACTATTAGTCCAAACCTGGAGAAGACTTATGGCTGCTTACAGCGCCACCCAGTGTTAGACTTCAGAAATGGCTCCAACAATGCTTGTCAGAGGTGACCATAGAGAGGTTGGGCTGTTAAGATGCAATGTAGTTGCAATAGTTTGACATGAAAACCTTTGCCTAATCGACAGTTGTTAAGAGGGCATTAGGGAATTGTCCATAATTGCGTGACCTTGTTTCCAGGTATCCGGGGAGTGTCAGAGGAGACTACTACAGGTGTCCACAACCTGTACAAGATGATGAAGAAGGGCGAGCTGAAAATTCCCGCCATCAACGTCAATGACTCTGTCACAAAGGTATCATGTCTCAACATTTAATCCCCTTTTTATTCAATTGGCAAACTGACTTCTGGCTGTACTGCTACAGTAATTATACAGCTTATTGAATGGTTCTGAACTAGAGGTCATGGGAATGCTCTGACTTATGGAAATGTATGTAAATATCTTTGAATCTAACACCAGGCCCTCAATGGGAACTCTTCTATCATGTTTTCAGTCTGGGAAAAGCTTGATCCTGGTTTAAAAACAAAACAAAACATGTAGTAATATTTTCTGTCTCCTTCCTGCAGAGTAAGTTTGACAACCTGTACGGCTGCAGGGAGAGCCTGATCGACGGTATCAAGCGAGCCACTGATGTGATGATTGCTGGTAAAGTCGCTGTGGTAGCGGGCTATGGTGACGTGGGTAAGGGCTGTGTCCAGGCTCTGCGTGGGTTCGGAGCTCGCGTCATCGTCACAGAGATCGACCCCATCAACGCCCTGCAGGCCGCCATGGAGGGTAGGCGATAACAGCCAAAAATACAGTATATCTAGGCCATGAATGCTAATTTTAAACATCATGAAGAGAGGGCTAACTGGGTTGTTGGTCATCCTGAGATTCAGGATTCAAATCTTGCCTTTAGACTGGCTGACATTTCAACAAACTAACCTGCAGAAGTCATTAAATAAGACAAGAGTTCACTTCAAAATAACTTGAGATATCAGACTGTTTGTATATAAAGCCCTCTCTTTTGCTCTGTAGGTTACGAGGTTACCACCATGGACGAGGCTTGTAAGGAAGGAAACATCTTCGTCACCACCACTGGCTGTGAGGACATCATCATGGGACAGTGAGTTTGACCAATCCAGATGTTTCTACCAGAACTGAACTTTCAGTAGTTGAAATTAAATTCAGCAGGTTGGGATTATCCAAAGTATTACTGAATTGTTACTGTTGCACGATACCAAGTTAAGTATTAAGTATCTTTACTTATCTTTAGTCACTTTGAGAACATGAAGGACGACGCCATCGTCTGTAACATCGGGCACTTTGACTGTGAGATCGACATGGGCTGGCTCAACAAGAATGCAACAGATAAGATCAACATCAAGCCCCAGGTAGGAAAACTGAAACTTTTTAATAATAAATACAGCAGTATTTCTACCCGTTTAAGGTTCACATGTCCATTAAGCTGCCTGTGTCTTATATTCGTCTCTCAGGTAGTCTCACCCTGTCTACTCTGTCTACCTCTCCCACATCAATGTAATGTAATCCTCCTCCTTCTCCAAAGGTCGATCGCTTTCTTTTGAAGAACGGTCGTCACGTCATCGTCCTGGCCGAGGGCAGACTGGTCAACCTGGGCTGTGCCATGGGACACCCATCCTTCGTCATGAGCAACTCCTTCACCAATCAGGTACTGTGTGTGAGAGCCAGAGAAGACAAAAGATGCCTGTAGCACATGTAATTAAAACTAGAAGTTCTCTTTTAATTGTAATGTATGCTATAATGCAACGTTTTGGTTTGACATAACACAATAACACTATAGTTCCTCTGCTTCTGTATGAAACTCATCACTTGTACTTTCTTGTAGGTTCTGGCTCAGATCGAGTTGTGGACACAAACCGACAAATACCCCCTGGGAGTCTACTTCTTGCCCAAGAAGGTCAGAAGCCACAACATAATAAAGCATTTATACACCTTGCACACGAGTAGAAAATGAAAAGCTTGTGATCAAACACTCTGAAAAAAGCCTTAAATGATTTAAGACTTCCTTGATTTTACATAAAAACATAATTTAGTGCAAGTTTCTTGATGCAGGCTGACAAAAGCTGCAGAGACCTCACGGTAAAACTGCCATAAGCTACAGTACAGCAGCAGGGCCAGGCTGTGGTAAAATCTCTTTTTACACGTCTAATAAGAAGTCACGTTCACGTCCACTGCTTGCAGAATGAAGCAAAGTGCTGTCAGATTTTCAACTCTCCTTGCATTAAAACCCACTATAATTATTTTCTGACATGGTGAAGTTGGAGAGTGGAGTTTTGGCTTGCCAGATTTGATTTCTACCTGCGTTAATAAGAAGGGTTGTTTTTCTACCAACAACCTGTGAATGGTGAGGTTGAAGATGAGTTTTTTTTTTTTTTTAATGCAAGGCTTGAACTGTAAATATCTCCTGGTACACTTAAAATACAGATTAAGCTGATGTAACAGATTTAAGAGGGATTTAGTGTCTAACTTCCTTCCAGGGATCTTGGCATAAAGTGATTTTTCATCTAAGCCTAAAAAAAAGTTAAGAAATTGGAACAGGAAAGCCCAGATTTGACATCTTTAAACTTGTATGTAAATGTTAGTATAGTGAGTGTTCTAGAGAACGGTTACATCAGAGGAGCTGGGATCATAAAGCGGGCAGGAACTTAAAACCGGAGCAAAGATGCAAAACCAAATGGGAAGAGCAGCTTCTGCTGAACGAACAGATGGAAGGTTTATTTGGCGCTTAACACGCTCAGAAAGAGTAACAGTGAAAGGCCCAGAGATTAATTGGAGCTTTTATGAGCGGGGTTATACCCACAGAACATCTCGCTCCATCCGAGATGGAGCAGAAAACGGTGTGGGAACTTTAGAGTTTAGACTTTCACACAGTGACACTAAAGTATGACGAGCACCACGACTTCAGACTGTGACCACAGCGCTATTCCGTTCGCCATTTATCAAGCAGAAACGCCAAACATTGGTTTGTTCCAGCTTGAGATTGAGCAGATTGAGTTTTAGGCAGTTAGTTGGACAAAACAAGCAATTTGAAGACAAAAATAACGAACCAAAAATCTAAATGAGAATTATCCATAATCAAAATAATGAGTTGCCGGTTCGCTGCTGTAATCTGCTGTATGGCAGATATTTGTTTTTATACCTACAGCATCACACACAAAACACAATCATGAAATGGAATATGTCTAACACATTTTTTATGCCTAGATTAACTAAAGTTAAAACAAGCAAACTGTCTTCATCTAACAGGATTTTTGCTCTCATTTCTTTGTCTCCACAGTTGGATGAGCAGGTGGCAGCCGCCCACCTGGATAAACTGGGAGTGAAGCTGACCAAGCTGTCTGACAAGCAGGCCAAGTACCTGGGTCTGCCCGCCGAGGGGCCCTTCAAACCAGACCACTATCGCTACTGAGCCCCCCTCCCCCTGTCCAGCTGGGGATGAGGAAGAGGAGGAGGAGGTGTGGCTATAAGGTTGTCGGTGTTTTGGTGGGTGGGAGCACTTTGAGAGTTTGGTCAGGTTGCCCTCTGGGTGCCATTTTGGTTTTGGACTTCCAAATGTCAACTTTTCAGGGATAGAGACCATTTAGTTTTGTTTTGTTTCTCCTCAAATAGCCTTTCATATCACATGCTAAAGAAATGTATTTCACAAGTTGCATCTGGTGTCAATCCGAGTGATTCGGCGCGACTGAAGTTT